CTTACCCCTGTCCTTCCTGCTCAGGCTGCCATTCCTGTCCAGCTCATGCCTCCCTACTCCCTCATTACCCCCTCCATCTCATCCTCTAGCACCTGCCATAGGTCGCCCAAGGTAGGCTCTCACGGATCTGTGGGTCCCTGAGGGAAGGCCGCCTCTGCAGCTCGGTTTGATTTGGAGAGGAAGGACACTGCCTGGCTAAGCTGGAGTATTATGGACCATCGGTGCCTGTAATGTGCCGTAAGCCGTGCAGCCGTGATGGTCAGTTTGCCTTGGCGGTACTTCTTCTTTGCTGCCGAGTTTGCTAGCAGCCGCAAAAACTGCACCGTATCAGCTGCCAGGGCCCCGTATGTCTCAACCGCCAAGCCAAAAAACCCCATATAGTCCGGTCGTCCCTCGTAGAGCCTATGCTTGCTCTCGGATGCCTCCTTTGCCGCCCACCCTGGCGGCTTCCGTGCTCTAGTGTCACGTCTCTGTAGGACCGGGTCCGTCACGGTCACATCCGTGACAAAGGTTTCACCCGATTCCTGGTCCTGGATTGCTAGATCCGCCCTCTTATGAAGCACCGGGGGGGAAAAGGTGGTGGTTTCATGGAAGGTGGAGAAACCTGCCTCTTTCGCCATCCTAGGCGCCGCATACACTAGTGCGTTATGTGTTCTAACCACGTCCCTTCCGTCCGCACATCTGAGTAGGTGATTTGGGAGCGAGGTATCTTGGATATCTGAATTTTTCCGCTTGCAAGGGCACTTTACTGTAACCGGCAGCTGCATGCCTAGGCGGAAGCCCAACGTCATCGAGAGCTGACCAGGGGATAATGTAAGGTCAGCCCTCGTTGGCACAGCGTGCAGCCAATCCCCTGCCCCTGTGCTTTGTCTTTGCCGCCTGAGTGCCTAGCAGGCGTCGCTACAGCTCTCGTAGCAGGAAGTACTGCAAGTCGATGTGCTTCATTCTGCCCTCCAGTCGAGGTTCTTAACACACATGGCCTTGTTGTCAGCGAGCAAGGTCGGTGCAGAGCTAGGCCGCTCACGAAGGTCAGTGAGCAAGTAGATTAATCGGCGAAGCTGCTGAGCAGCCATGACAACAGCATAGATCTCGGCCTAAGCTCTGTCCTTGGTGATCTGCAAGCCAGGGCAGTGGCCCAGTTCACCAAGCTGGGTGCATGTGTGCCTCTTCTATAGAGAAAACTTCATTGAAGCTAGAGAAACACTGTCTGTTGTGAAAAAGATGAAGTCGTTGACGTAGACGAAGACGAAGAAGGGAGTGGGACCATAACGCATGAACAATGAAGGGTCAGAAGACGAAGGACTGAACCCAAGATTGGCAAGGGTGATACACAGAGTGTCATGCAACTCACACGGTGCCTGGCGCAGTCCATAGACTGGTCATCTCAGGCTCCACTAGGTCCCAGGCGGGAAATTACCGATGAAGCCAGAAGGATGGCATAGCCAGATCTCCTCGTGCAGGCTAACCTGAAGAAATGCAATCAAGAAGTCAAATGAGTGAAGCTTGTCAGAGGTCCACTGGTGATCCCCGATTGATCCTAGGGAAGGGTTACAGGCATGTTGGCCTAGGGGGTTATGGGCGCACTGACCCGCTACTTAACAAGCCCTTTTATCACGGTGGTTAGTGGCTGGGAGTCTGACAAGGTATCAGAGCGAAGGTCTCGGGTTCGAATTGTTGGTGTAAGGGCCTAATAAACTCAAACTATTAAGACTTTATCAAACTTAAAACCTCTCCTCGGGGTCACCTCCAAGGGTCCTTGGGTGCCTGGTACAAGACCAGCCCCTATCCTCGGGTCCGAGTTTGTAGAGAGAGGGATCAAGAATGACTTAGTCAAAATAACAAGAGTACCTTGAACGTCGCGCAGCGTATCGTGCAGACCGTCGACCGGATTAAGCTGAGAATTTCCTATATCGAAGCTCACTCCAAGAGCTTTAAAATAAGCCAAGTTGCCTCGCGAAAAGTTCTGCCATTATGAAGTTATCGCTCGGACAGCGTTTGCCTAGTGTTGGAGTGCTAGCGTACTAGCGTTGACTCGGGCAGCATTCCGCTGTCGCACCGGGTAGAAACGAAATTCCAGGAAGGGAGGAATTCGCTTGAATCAAATTGACTATATTCAGGTACAAACAGAGAAGGAATATATAGTTCTAGCTAGCAAGGACCTTGGGAATAAACCTGGGAACAACTAGGGATGATCCCAAATAATTCCAAGCAACAGAACCAACCTGGCTGGACAAAACAGCAGGTGGTAGGTTGGTAAACAACCTCTGGTTCTGTTTTTCCAACCTGGGAAAACAACAACCAGGTTCAGGTCCTAAAAACAGAACCTGTTTTGTCTTTGCCCAACCAGCCAAATGCTGGTTCCGCTGGTTTCCCCTGCCAAGGTTGGAGCAGAGCTGCACCCCCTGAACTATTGGGTGTTGGACACGGGCGCTGCTTGGACGATGACGCCGCGCAAGGACCTGCTGGACGACGTACGCGCTGCACCGATCAGTGAGGTGTACTCTGCCTCTGGACACGCGCTGAAGGTGGCTGGTGCGGGACGAGCTGCGTTTAAGGGAGCGGATGGCAAGCCGGTGGTGCTGGACGACGTTCTCCTCGTTCCTGATCTCAAGGCCAACCTCATCTCCCTCCGTAAGCTTGGCAAGGCTGGGGTGAGCACTAGCACGGATAGAGCACGCACGTACAAGGGGCAGCTGGGCAATCGGGTGCTTTGGGATCTGCACGAGAGCAAGGACGTGTACAGATCCATGTGGCAGCTGCCGGCGTTGGCGTGGCACGGTGGGGGGCAGGCTGGAGAGGGGTCTGCATCCCAGGGGGAGTGCAACGCCGTTGGAGGGGTTGGTGTGAAAATATCGGCCAGATCTGGGGAGACGGATTGGGCAACGGCACACCGATGCTTGGGGCATGTGGCAATGCCCTTGTTGAAGTAGTTGGAGAAAGATGGAGCCATTAAGGGTGTGAAGCTGAACGGACAGCCACCTGATGAGAATTGTGAAATCTGTTTGCTCTCAAAGTTTACCCGTTTCCCCTTCCATAGTGTGACTGGCAGGAGCAAGGAGCCTTTCGAGTTGGTGGGGCCGCTGCCGGTTCAGGGGCACAAGGGGGAGCGGTAGTTTCTGACCATAGTGGATGATTGGAGCAGGCTTATGTGGGCATATCCGCTGAAGCAGAAGGACCACGCTGCCTCTACGATACGGGAAGATTGGCTGCCATTTGTAGAGAAGCAAGCGGAGTGTGTGGTGAAGCGGATTAGGACGCGTCACAATTGCAACACCGGGGAGGATCGGGGACCGGACACCGAAAATGTGTGCAGCGCGTATGAAAATCGGTTTCCAGTCTGCATGAGCAGTGTTAGGCTGCTTCTCCGAGCCAAGTGGGACACGTCCGGATTTGCAAGTGGGAGAACTCCACTAACTGTACAGCCAGTTTCGAGCGCAGGTGCCGTGCTTCGCTGGCGCGTCGTACAATTTCGCCTGGGTTGTGACGACGCGCACGGACGATGATGTTTCTTTGTCGTTATTGACCGCTTCTGCTTCTTGCAATGTTTGCAATGTGTTGAACAATTCAGAGACATTGGAGTTTCCCCGACCAGCACAGGCATCAGAAAGAATATGCCCACTCGCGCCTACGATAAACCCCAGATGAGAATCAAGATGTCCAGCCTGCAAAATCCGTCTCATTTAAAGAGTTTTGTTACTACCGACGTGTTTAAAATATGTCACGTGACCCTTGTATGTTTTACGTGGTTGACATGCAGCAACTGATTGTTTTGAAACAACATGCCAATTTAATCACGGATTTCGCTGTGCGATTCGAGCACTTCAACCCTCTTTAGCATAAACAGGCTTCTTTGTAGGCCACCCCAACCATTCTTTCACTCGACATGGATCCCGAGATATTCCTCCTGCTCATGACAGTCTTCTTTGATGGTTTCTCCTCTGTAGTACTAGCTCCTGCAGTTATGGCGTTAGCACGACTCTTCGGTCACGCCCTTGCGACTATGTCCCTTAATAGCCAGCGGCTTTACCTTCGTGACGACAGGGCCATGGCGCGACGGCGTTGGATGACACTCATTCCATTACTACCCGCCGTTGAGTTCTATGAGCATTTCAGACTTGAGAGGCCAGTTTTCAACTACTTGTGCGAGCGCTATGCACACTACAGGCCTATAGGCAACACAAGCACCCTCTCCCACTCTTTCTTAGTGGCACTGGCTTTAACTCGCATGGCTCATGGTTGGAACTACCGTGCGCTCGCGTTAGCATTCGGTATCAGTAGGCAACATGCGCTCCGTGCGGTGAACGACTTCCACACTTTCGTACAAGTAGATTTGACGCCTGAGTGGGTTACCTGGCCCACCAAACTGGAGGCTGCTCGTATGGAAGCCGAGTTCCGCTACGAGAGTGGAATACCGGGCGTCGTGGGAGCGATTGACGGGACTTTCATCCGTTGTCGTGGAATTGGTGACTATCCAGAGGATTTCAGAAACGGCACGATCACAATAATCCTTCAATTAATATGTGACTCTATTGGCAAAATTTATGACTTCTACGCCGGATGGCCCGGGTCGGTCAACGATGCACAGGTATGGCAAAACTCGCCCGCCCGGGTGCGCATCGAGGAAGGCGAACTCTACGATCGAGTACTTGTGGGAGATGCCGCCTATGGCCTACATCCGTACACCTTCACACCTTACAGGGCAGGAGCTGAAGAGAACGTCAACGTTGTTGACAGAGTCTGGAACAAACAGCAGTCTAGAGCTAGGATGGTCGTGGAGCAAGTGAACGAGCGCCTGAAAGCAAAATGGCGCCTCCTAGCCGAGCGCATGGAGAGTAACATCGCGCGACTTTGCCATGCGGTGCAGACGGCGGTCACCTTGAACAACGTGGAGCTGGTGCTTGGCAATCGTCCTCGCCTAGGCCCGCCACGCGTGCGGGACCGGTGGTGGCTTCGTGGGCCAGCATCAAGGGCGCCTCATTACAGCTCTACCGGCGCGGGCTTTACTCCTGAGCGTCGTCGCGATCGCCTTCGGAATTATCTTTTTGCTTCTTGGAGGCTTTCTCATCTCGAAGAGAACGCGCCAACTCTCGGGTATGGCGAAGGAGACGGTCCACTCCACGGTCAATAACACGCTCGAGTGATGCCTCAATTCCTTGCACGAGTTCAGCTGAAATTGAAGTGTCTCCCAAACCACCAATGTCTGACACGCCCGTCGTGCTTGATGTTGCAGGAGGCAACAGAGGCCCCCTCAGGCCGCGGACGCGAGTCGGAGGACCCGCCCTCGTGGGTGACTGAATGGGCACTGAGACTGTGGCGGATGGCGGCGCATGGTCGGAAGGTCCTGGAAAGGGGGGGGGGGGGGGCGGGGGGGGGGGCGGGGGGTTAGAAGTGTAAGATGCAGGTAGCAAGTTCTTTGACCTGCAGTGTCCACATTTTGGCGTGTTATGCATGAAGTTAGTGCAACACAAGGAAATTTCAATAAAGACTTTATGCCATTTTTCGCGCCAGTGCCAACAAATTCTACCCTCAGACGGCGGAGGCGGGATGCGCGGATTTGGCACTCCCACGGAGCTTGTTCCAGGCTTACCACCGGTAGCAGTTGCATCCCCCGCCGTAATCTCACCTGCGGTCCACACACGACAAAGGGGTTAATGAGGAAGTAGAACCCTGACAGGGTGATCACGGGTTTGGGTTACTCATACACACTTACCTCCGGCGCTCACGCCTCGACTCGTACCCTCTCCCCACGGGTTACTTGGGAGGTTCACAGTAGTACCGGTTCCCCCACTGCTAATGGTTACTCCAGGAGCGGCAGCTGGGCGATCGTGCAAGACCCTGTCGAGCAAATCGTACCACCTCGGGAGATCCGACACTCGAGAGTTTCCGGAGCGGCGCATTTGGTCACGGAGTTGCTTGTATCGGTCAATCATCCGCTGCATTTTGCTTTTCACTGCAGCCAACCCGAAGCGGAAGTCAGGACGGTGGCGAATCAGTTCTTCCAGGAGCGCGACATTGTAGTTAGCTCCTTGGATGCCACGCATTCCTCGTAAGTCAGCATCCAGGTCGTGCCTGACTTCCGCAAGCAACATTTCTTCGTCCGGTTGCCATCCTGTCACCGTCAGTGTCCCGGTACGACCGCGGCTAGAAGTCGATGCGCGCCGACGACCGTTAGAAGGGTTGGATTCCGCGGGGTCTCCAGCCGCAGTCACGCCTGCCGTTCCCTGGTCGTTGCCAGTTGTTGTGTCTTGGGTAAGTGCAGCAGCGGGAGCCGCCGTAGGAGCCGTGAAAGTAGGCGGGGCAATGTCGTCAAGCTCGCCTAGGTCGTCGTCAGGGGCAGGCAGTCCAGCGACGAACGCGTCGAGGTCTATGACCTCACGTGGTCCGCGGGCATTACGCGTCCTGGAAGGAGTCCGCCTCGTTGCACGATTTCCTGCTCCAGCAGCAGTGGCGCTAGGTGCACCCGTCGGTGGTGTTTGGATCAGATAGATCACGGGACCGGGAAGCGGTTCCGCGACCTGAACGGCGGTGGTCGATGCCTGGGTATCACGCTCGTCGTTGACAGGGTCGGCAGCTTGGGAGCCATGGTTAGGAGTTGTCATGGTGAGAGGTGTCGAGAGAGAAATGGCAATCTGATAGCACAATAGTTGGGGACAATGCGGGTTGGTCTGGCCAATTTGTACCAGAAAGGCCAATGTGTTTCCCGAAGCGCATATTGGTTTTTGATGTGTTTGATTTCAGGTGGGATTCGGCGCCGCGGTCGCACAGCGCAGATGTCGCCCCCCGACAGTTTGTGATGTGACCTTGTTACCGCTTGGAGAATGGCCGACAGTATGCGACGACGATCGATCGTGGCTGGCCCAGGTGGCGCGATTTCGTTTCCCGCGCTGCCAATCTCACGATCGATGTGGCATTTCGAGCGGGGCAATCTCGTCAAGCTGCAAGTTCACGTTATTCGCGTCATAGTTGTGCGAAATCGGGATACACCTTTTTCCGCCAACTGGCGAATTCACTGTAGAGGGTGAACACCAACCCTACACAGGATCAGTGTTGCAATTGTGATGCGTCCTTAGGACAGATCGGGGTGGTGAGTTCCTTGGAGCTGAGATGACGGCCTGGCTCAAGAAGCAGGGCATCCAGAGGGAGCTGACCACGGCTTACACCCCACAGTCCAACGGTGTAGCAGAACAGGCGAACCGGACAATTCTGGAGACAGCTAGGGCGCTGCTCATAGAATCTGGGCTGGGCAACTTGATGTGGCCCCATGCTGTTCGGCACGCTACCGTCGCTAGGAACAGGTACTCACAATGGTTGGGGATGACTCGTGGGTGCCGTTGGAGAGGTGGCTTGGGAGGAAGCCGCCAGTGGACATGCTGAGGGTGTTCGGTTGCATGGCAGTCGCCCACGTCCCCAAGACCTACCGAAGTAAGTTGGGGGCGAGTGCAATCTGGTGTGTGCATTTGGGGCTGGCTGCTAAGAGCAAGGGATGGCTGCTGTGGGAACCATCCAAGGGTGTGTTGTTTGACAGCAGAGATGTGAAGTTTGTTGAGGGCATGATGTATGGGAGCTGGGAGAAACAGCCGGAGGCCAGGGTGTCCCAGCAGATGGAGCAGATCACCATGCAGCTAGACCTGACTCCTAGTGTACGGGAGGAGGGAGAGGAGGCAGCTGCAGAGGGTGGTGATGGAAAGAAGGTATAGGAGGCACCTGCTGGTGGAGAAAATGATGTGGTGACTAGCAATAGTGGAGCTGCTGGATCCGAGGGGGGAGAGCCGCAGCAGGGGAAAACTAAGAAGCCGAAGGGTGTTGTTATGAAGGGATGGGAGACACCCGTCTCCAGGCCAGGACGTACCCGTATGGCTACTAAGAAGCTGACTGCAGGAGCTGATGTAGCAGAGCAGCGGCTTGGGACAGAGGAGGCATTGCTGATTCTACCGCATGGCTATGCTCCGGATGAGGAGGATGAACCTGCCTACTGTTTTCTTGCCCCTGCACCAGAGGAACCAGCTAGCATGGAGGAGGCATTAGCTGGACCAGATAGGGAGAAGTGGCTGGTTTCCAGGGATGCTGAGTAAAAGAGCCTGCTAGAGAATGGGACATGGGATCCGGTAGTGCTGCCTGATGGGAAGAAAGCTGTACAGTGCAAGTGGGTGCTAAGGATCAAGACCGATGACAAGGGACAGGTCACCATTGTTGGTGTAAGGGCCTAATAAACTCAAGCTATTAAGACTTTATCAAACTTAAAACCTCTCCTCGGGGTCACTTCCAAGGGTCCTTGGGTGCCTGGTACAAGACCAGCCCCTATCCTCGGGTCCGAGTTTGTAGAGAGAGGGATCAAGAGGGACTTAGTCAAAACAGCAAGAGTACCTTGAACGTCGCGCAGCGTATCGTGCAGTCCGTCGATCGGATTAAGCTGAGAATTTCCTATATCGAAGCTCGCTCCAAGAGCTTTAAAATGAACCAAGTTGCCTCGCAAAAAGTTCTGCCATTACGAAGTTATGGCTCGGACAGCGTTTGCCTAGTGTTGGGGTGCTAGCGTACTAGCGTTGACTCGGGTAGCATTCCGCCGTCGCACCGTGTAGAAACGAAATTCCAGGAAGGGAGGAATTCGCTTGAATCAAATTGACTATATCCAGGTACTAACAGAGAAGGAATAAATAGTTGTAGCTAGCAAGGACCTTGGGAATAAACCTGGGAACAACCAGGGATGATCCCAAATAACTCCAAGCAACATAACCAACCTGGCTGGACAAAACAGCAGGTGGTAGGTTGGTAAACAACCTCTGGTTCTGTTTTACCAACCTGGGAAAACAACAACCAGGTTCAGGTCCTAAAAACAGAACCTGTTTTGTCTTTGCCCAACCAGCCAAATGCTGGTTCCGCTGGTTTCCCCTGGCCCTGTAGCAAGCAGATACAGACAAACAACATCCAACCTTCACCTAAATTGTACCCCTATAGTGCCTGCCCTGCTACACTATAGTCAACCAAACAAAACAGTACAATTTCGAGTTGGATAGAACTGAATCTGCACAATCAATTCAACCGAACCGCAAAGCTTCCATCTTGGGTTCCTTTGCGAGCTCGTCCTTTCTGCTTGTACTGTTCATAGCGCGTACAATGTTGTGCCGAAGCGCACAATGTGCTAGTACCTGCAAATGCTTCAAGCAAAAATTGCAAAAGCAAATAAACACACGAACATTCCATTCACATCCAAATGCATTCGCACACGCATCCTCGTACAAACAGACGGCAGGATGTCGTGCCATGTGAATTTGCACCCAACAACCATCTACAAGAGTAGGCTGGTGGCTAAGGGGTTTATGCAGAAGGAGAAGCAGGACTTCAATGAGATTTTTGCTCCCACTGCCAAACCCTCTACCCTCTGTGTCTTGTTGGCAGATGCAACCGTTAGTGGGAGCTTCATCATTCAGATGGATATATCAACGGCATTCCTCAATGGGATTTTAGAGGAGGATGTGTACATGACGCAGCCGCCTGGGTATGAGGAAAGTACAGGCAGGGTGTGCAAGCTAAAAAGTCCATCTACGGCTTGAAGCAGGCGCCACGCTGCTGGTACCAGAAGTTGGCAGCTGTTTTAGAGGAGATGGGATTCAGGACCAGCAGCTGTGATGAGAGCCTCTTTCTCAAAGGGGAGGGGGAGAAGCTGGTGCTGTTTCTGGTCTACGTGGACGACATTCTTCTCTTTAGCAGCAGCATGAAGGAGATCCAGAATGTGCAGCAGCAGCTGATGGAGAACTTCAAGTGCAAGAACCTTGGGAAGGTAAAGTACTACCTCGGGATGCACGTGGAGAGGGATCTGGATCACAGGTGGTTGAAGCTGCACCAGGAGAAGTTCATCAAGGAGCTGGGGGAGAAGTATGGGATTGAGAATGAGCGCAAGGTTGCAAGTCCCCTGCCAGCAGAATTCAAGCTTATGAAGGCTGCAGCGGATGAAGGGGTTGAAGCCGAGGAGCAGCAGAAATTTCAGTCCTTGGTGGGCAGCCTCTTGTATGCAGCAGTTCACACGAGGCCCGACATCTCTTTCTCGGTTGGGCAGCTGGCAAGGGTGGTGCAGAATCCATCAGAGGAGCAGGTGGATGCAGCTGAGCGTGTGGTGAAGTATCTGAACTCTCACCCAAGCATTGGAGTTCAATATTCCGCATCTGCACAGGTGAAGCAGAAAGGGCTTGAGGTGCTGAAAGAGAAGGGGGAGCGGCTTGGAGAAGGCAAGCTGTTTCTCACTTGCTTTATTGATGCTAAGTGGGCTTCTGAGAATGATGATTCCTCATCTGTGGGAGGATACATCTGTGTAGTTGGGGGAGGACCTGTTAGTTGGAGGTCAAAGAACCAGACGGAGACGGCACTCTCTTCCGTGGAGTCAGAGTACATGGCAATGTTTCACGAGGTGAAGGAGGTGATTTGGCTGAGGAGGCTGTTAGAGGAGATTGGCCAGGAGCAGAAGGTTGCTACGCCGCTGTTTTGTATCGCAAGGGGGCTCTTGGGATGGCCAGGAACGCTGTGCTTCATGGGCTGAACAAGCACATGTGTATCAAGTGGCACGACATCCTGCCGTCTGTTTGTACGAGTATGCGTGTGCGAATGCATTTGGGTGTGAATGGAATGTTCGTGTGTTTGTTTTCTTTCGCAATTTTCGCTTGATGCATTTGCAGGTACTCGCGCAATGTGCACTTCGGCACAACATTGTACGCGCTATCAACAGTACAAGCAGAAAGGACGAGCTTGCAAAGGAACCCAAGATGGAAGCTTTGCGGTTCAGTTGAATTGATTGTGCAGATTCAGTTCTATCCAACTCGGAATTGTACTGTTTTGTTTGGTTGACTATAGTGTAGCAGGGCAGGCACTATAGGGGTACAATTTAGGAGAAGGTTTGATGTTGTTTGTCTGTATCTGCTTGCTACAGGGCCAGGGGAAACCAGCGGAACCAGCATTTGGCTGGTTGGGCAAAGACAAAACAGGTTCTGTTTTTAGGACCTGCACCTGGTTGTTGTTTTCCCAGGTTGGAAAAACATAACCAGATGTTGTTTACCAACCTACCACCTGCTGTTTTGTCCAGCCAGGTTGGTTCTGTTGCTTGGAATTATTTGAGATCATCCCTGGTTGTTCCCAGGTTTATTCCCAAGGTCCTTGCTAGCTAGAACTATTTATTCCTTCTCTGATTGTTCCCGGATATAGTCAATTTTATTCAAGCGAATTCCTCCCTTCCTGGAATTTCGTTTCTCCCTTAGACCAACAGAACAGACATGCATGATCGTGCCGAAGATGCACCCGAACTGGATACCGTTTATTTTACCAATGCATGTCTATTCTGTTGGTGTAAGGGCCTAATAAACTCAAGCTATTAAGACTTAATCAAACTTAAAACCTCTCCTCAGGGTCACCTCCAAGGGTCCTTGGGTGCCTGGTACAAGACCAGCCCCTATCCTCGGGTCCGAGTTTGTAGAGAGAGGGATCAAGAGGGACTTAGTCAAAACAGCAAGAGTACCTTGAACATCGCGCAGCGTATCGTGCAGACCGTCGATCGGATTAAGCTGAGAATTTCTTATATCGAAGCTCGCTCCAAGAGCTTTAAAATGAACGAAGT